GCACACAAATAGTAAAATTAAAGTGAAATCTTGGTGATTACATCTTCAGAAGCCCAAGAAGACATTATCCTCATAATATCTAAGAAAAACTACAAACACATTACAATTTTTTGAAACTTTAATGATTTCTTATATCTATATTTGAGGCCACATAATTTGAAGTAATGCAGAAATCACTTCCTGATTACTTTAGTGCTCAAGAGAGGAGAGGCAAATGGAATCCATTGCATTTCATCAGAGGAATGAAAAATATGAATCTCATAATAATCAGAGGAAGCTGAGTTGTAAAATGTACAGAGAACTGGCATGCCTGGACTAGAATAATGAGTCCTATGATCTGTACCAACAATAATTTCAAAATCTGAGGAACACACATTCAGTGATCCACTTTACTGATGATGTCTCAACACTTTACATGCTTGGCTACATTATTGTACTCCACAATCCTTTAACTGAACAGAAAAGTATTTTAATTTGAAGAAAACTTTACAATATAATGCTATATTGCACATTATTAAGTATTTGTAGAATCAATTACATAGTCTTAAATATTTCTAGATATTCTAGAGAAAGAGAGGGTTGAGGAATTATTGAATATTGCATTATGATTAACGTCAATCTCTGTAGTTTCAATATGCCAATAAAGTAGAGCCACAAAATAAATCTCACATTATGTAGAACACATGGTACATTAGATATATTGCTGACTACTGAAGAAGTTGGGGTGCTGTGGGATCCCAGCTAAAATAAGATGTCACTTAGTGAATGTTTTCTACTACACAAATACAATTCTGTACTTTTCAATATTAAATCCAGTGATGGCTATTCTTTGTTGTCAACGTGACTTTAGCTTGAATAAACTAAAAGACATACACAAAAATGGAGCATACCCATGAGGGATTTTTGCTTAATTTGTAGTGGTAAAGTCCACTTCTAATATGGATCTTTGAAGTGGGAAGAAACAACTTTAATTGAAATCTTTTGAGGTGGGAAGACCTGCTTCTAATCTGGGCCATACCTTTTGCTGGAAACCTGTACAGGGACATGAAAGAAGGACATTTTTGGTTTTCCTCTAGATCCCAGGATATATTGAGGACAAGCTTAAACATCCAGGCTCTGCACTGAACAAGTACTGGATGTTTGGACCTTCCTTTCATTGACAGCCATTGTTGGATTACATGGACCCTAGCCTGTAAGTCATTGAATATGAATCTCTTTATACGTAGAGACATTCATTCCTTATGTTGCATTACTATAGAGAACCATAACACAAAGTTTAGTAGTTTTGAGACATTATTTACAAATAGCTTGTTGTTTAGTATAAGGTATGTAATATGTGCATGTATTAAAAGTTTTAAAGCTCTGCTTGAATATGGTCACTGGAAGATTATTTTAAACCAAATAATTAAATATATGTACAAGGCTATCATATATGTATGATATTTTGTGAGCAAACCTTCAAATGAAGTTATTTCAGTTGAAAATTTTATTTTTTGGATGTGCTGTTAAATAACTAGGAAAGAGATACCTTGATAGAGGCAACCATTATGGGAAACCAGACACTAGGGAAATTCCCAGGAATGCATGAAGATGAACCAAAATAGTAATCTAAGCAATAGTGGGAAGGGTATATTCAATGCACTTCTACTATAATGAGGTTGATGACTATCTTAAATGCCATCCTAGGGCTGAGAAAGAAATCAGAGAAACATCACCATTTATAATTGCCACAAACAACATAAAATACTTTGGAGTAACGCTAACCAAACGAGTGAAAGACCTGTATTGCAAGAACTTTGAGTCTTTAAAGAAAGAAATTAAAGAAGACACCAGAAAATGGAAAGATCTCCCATGCTCTTGGATAGGTATGATCAACATAGTAAAAATGGCAATCTTGCCAAAAGAAATCTGCAGATTCAATGCAATTCCCACTAAAATCCCAGCACAATTCTTCACAGACCTAGAAAGAACAATAATTTATATGGAAAAACAAAAGAACCAGGATAGCCAAAACAACTCTATTCAACAAAGCAATGTCTGCAGGCATCAATATCCCTGATTTCAAGCTCTATTATAAAGTTATAGTCCTGAAAACAGCTTGGTATTGGCACAAAAATAAACAGACCAATGGAATCAAATTGAACACCCTGATATTAACCCGTATATATGAACATCTGATCTTCAACAAAGGAACTAAAAAATATACACTGGAAAAAAGAAAGCATCTTCAACAAATGGTGCTGGCATAACTGGATGCTGGCATGTAGGAGAATGTGGATAGATCCATGTCTATCGCCATGCACAATATTTAAGTCCAGATGGTTCAGAGACTTCAACATAAATCCAGCCACACTGAAGCTCTTAGAAGAGACAGGTAGGTACTCTTGAACGAATAGGTATAGGAGACACCTTCTTGAACATAACACCAGTATCACAGACACTGAGGTCAACAATTAATACATGGGACCTCCTGAAACTGAGATGTGTCAGTAAAGCCAAGGACACAGTCAACAAGAAAAAAAAACGGCAGCCCCCAGAATGGGAATAGATATTCACGAACCCCACATGTGACAGAGGTCTGATCTCTAAAATTTACAAAGAACTCAAGAAGCAAGTCTCCAAAACACCAAAGGATTCTATTAAAAAGTAGGCTACAGAACTAAATAGAGAATTCTCAATAAAGGAGTCTAAAATGGCTGAGAGGCACTTAAGAAAGTGTTCAATATCCCTAGCCATCAGGGAAATGCAAATCAAAACAACTCTGAGATACCATCTTACTCCCTTAAGAATGGCTAAAATAAAAAACACCAATGACAGTTTATGCTGGAGAGGATGTGGAAAAAGGGGATCACTCCTCCACTGCTGGTGGGAGTGCCAACTTGTTCAGCCACTTTGGAAATCGGTATGGAGATTCCTCAGAAAAATGGGAATAAGCCTACCACAAGACCCAGCAATTCCACTCTTAGGCATATACCCAAAAGATGCATATTCATACAGCAAGGATGTCTGTTCCACTATATTCATAGCAGAATTTTTTGTAATAGGCAGAACCTGGAAACAACCTAGATGCCCTCAACTGAAGAGTGGATAGAGAAAATATGGTGCATTTACACAATGGAGTACTATTCAGCAGAAAAAAACAATGGAATCCTGAAATTTTCAGGCAAATGGACTGTAATAGGAGATACCATCCTGAGTAAGGTAACCCAGTCACAAAAAGACAAACATGGTATGTACCCACTCATATATGCATTTTAGACATGGATCAGGGTAGTGCCAGCCTACATTCCTACTGCTAGAGAATCTGGGAAACAGAACCTTTAACAAATAACTGATGGAAGCAAAGGCAGACACCCACAGCTTAACATTGAGCTGAGTTCAAGAAACCCACTTACAGAGAGAGAGGACTGATGAGCTTGGATTCAAGACTGGGCTTGTTTAACCCACAGAAACAGCTGACCTGAACAAGGGGGAACTCTTGAACTCCAGACTGATGGCTGGGAATCCAGCATGGAACTGATCAAGACCATCTGAATGTGGGTGTCAGTGAGGAGGCCTAGGCAATCTATGGGGCCTTGGGTAGTAGATCAGTATACTGGCATACAAATGGACTTTGGGTGCCCGATGCTCTCTCAGCCTGGACTCTTGGGGGAGGGCCTAGGATCTGCCATGGTTGAAATGACAGACTATGGACACTCCCATGAAAGTCCTCACCCTCCCTGGTGAAAGAAGTGGGGATTGAATGGGGAATTAGTGGAAGGGCCTGGAAGGAGAGGATGGAGAGGGAGAGGGAGCTGGGATTGACATGTGAAGCAACTTTGTTTCTAATTTAAATTTAAAAATAAAAAAATACTATAAAAATGCCATCCTAGAGCTTTCATCCAGTAGCTAATGGAAGCAGATGCAGAGATCCACAGCTAATTATTGAGCCAAACTCCTGGAGTCCAGTTGTAGAGAGGGAGAAGTGACAAGAATATGGATCTAGAGCATGCTGGGGAAACCCACAGAAACAGCTGACCTGAGCAAATGGGAACTTATGCACTCCAGACTGACAGCTTGGGAACCTGAATAAGACTAAAGCAGGTCTCCTAAATGAGGGTGTCAGTTGGGGTGTTTGGGTTGTCTATGGAGCCCTTGGCAGTGGAACCAGTATTTATCCCTAGTACATGAACTGTTTTTTTTTTTAACTCATTCCTTATGGAGGTATACTCTTCCAGCCTAGATAAATGGTGGAGGCCAGCACAGGAGCAGATTCCAATGCTTTCTTGTGTTGAGATTTTTTTGTTCACCTAGTGAGTTGAATTCTTATACCAGAATTTCAAGTTCATTAGTGTAAAAAGAACCTACAGAGATGTACAAACTATTCATCAGCTCAAATGGGCCTGCATAGCTTCTTCTCCAACATTTACATATTTATAATTCCAAGACTGCAACTTAAAAATAGATGTGCTTTGAGCTTTTATAGCACCTAACAATTATTCTATTTTTATAAGTGGATTTGACAAAAAAACACAATACATATATTTTTGAATAAAATATAAAAATGTTATAACTTGCAATGAAAACCTGGCTGTGATGCAAAGTAAGAAATAAAATAGCAAATAAAGCAGGTTAAACAAATTAATTTTAAAAAGAACTCCACATTAACATAAAAACAAAAATGTAGATCTGCAACATAAAACATATTACATAAATAATATATTGTAAATATTGAGTATAAAGGGAATTACTTCAGAAATGTATGTTTAATGAAATAACTAAATAATTCATTAAAACATACCTCTCCTGTCTTTGTTCTATGGATGTTTGCCCTCACAAAGCCTTAACTTCTCTTTAAAGTAAAAATATAGTTCGAGCTATAGTTTCTTTTAAACCTTGACCTTCTACATGCTGACATCATTGTCTCACAAGACAAGACTTCATCGGTTAAGACCTCAGCTGTGGATGTAATTGACAGAACTAAGTCTAAAATACAGTGTTGGGTTGGGCATGACACTTACCTGCTTGATTCGTGGTTACATTTACAGACACATACTGCCGGGTGTCTGGGCTCAAGTCGGACACTCCATTCACTGCCTCAATTTCAAAGGTATAGTTTGTGTGAGCAAGTAGGTCCACCATCATGACAGAGGTATTTTTCAGGCCGATTTGCTGGGGGAGGTACCTGACTTGACCTCCACACTCCTCACACACACCTGCATGGGAGCTGCACTTCTTGCATGCAATATAATATGACACGTCTTTCCGTCCACCAGTGTCAGCAGGCGGAATCCACTCCAGAAAGACACTAGTTTCATTAACATTTGAGATGGCATTCCGAGGAGGTGAGGGGGGTCCTGGTTTGCAAAGTAAAGTGAGAAAAACATATTTAAGATAATATCAATTAGTGTCCTTGATCATATTAATCACTGGCCCGAAGAAAAACTAAATGTATAATTAATTTTTTATGTCATATTTTATAATTTTAAAAGTTTAGAGTTTTATGAAACAGAGGTATATGCACCACAAAAGTAATTTATTTTTGGACTGTTATAAACTTATTTAATAGAATCAGATGTTTTTTCTTAATATGTGTATTAAGAGCTTTGAAGTAAACCTATGGACTGAGAGAAATGTGACATAAACTTTATGTTTAGAAACATAGTAAATTGAATTCTTTGTACATTGAATAGCATGCTGCATTTGTGAGAGTTGGAAGTAAATATGAAATCTCTGTTAAACAACAGTATAGTAGAAGAAGGACTTCTCTGGATGACTCTTGACAACGAATTCCATTAGAAGTAATTGAATGCATAAAAAGTGAACAGAATTTGGAGCTCTCCTGAAGGAACACAGCTCAGGGATAAAAGCTGAAGGTCAATCCCACTGTTTATAAACTAGGTTCTTTCGACATTAGAATTTTAACTGAGGTTGGAATTTCTAGTAAAGATTATAGAAACTGAGTGCAAAGGGTTCAGTCTTCCAGAATATTTTCAATGTTTTCATCTAGCACAATAAGAAAAGAAATTCATGCAATTAAAATACTTTCACAGATTCTTGTCATTTAGAATAAAACTGTAACAGCTTTTCTAGCCATGTAGTTTTTATTATACACTTCATTTTTATACATAGACAGATTCGATTAATTAGAAGCTTTGTTGACTTAGTAATAACAACAGTCAATATAATTTTAACCAGAACCTAATTATTCATGTGCAAAGAGAAAATAAAAATGAAATTCTCAAAATTCAAATTTTAAATATTTTACTTTTAGCCAGCTTTAAATGATATGTGATCATGTGTACTCAAAAAAACTGAACTTTGCTTGTTTGGGATCTAATTTTTGTCTCAGTTAATATTCAAGTGAATATCTCTGCCTGTCAAAGACCTACTCAGTACCTCCCCTTAATGGTGAAGTAATACAGTCCTATTGTATTTGGATGGATTGTGAGCATGTAGTAAACTCTTTAAAAATAATCTTTCTAAGTTAGTCTAACATCTGTGTGTTCCAAATACAAGACTCAATGTCTTTTATTAAACCAACATTAATTCATCATCTTTGATGTACATATTTATAAGTGAGTTTAAAAGAGTACTAATATTTAAGAGGTTTTTTAAAGAAATTACATTTAAATGAAACAACTCTTTATCTAAGGACGTGGGTTTCCTGCCTCTAATACCCCCTAAAATGCCCATCACTGAACCTTAGGATGTTTTATATGCAGTCAACCTTCCATATTTCTATGTTAACGGTTGCTTTTAACTCATAAACCTTTTTAACATTATAAATAGAAGTACTATTATTTATTACAGACTTTAAACTGTTTAATAGAAAAAAATTGGAGATACTTTGCTTTCAAGGTGCAAATGGACTTAACACTTGAGAAAGGAGATGAAATGTGCCTTAAATGTGTCAAATTCCATTTTATTACTGCCAGCTGAACTGTATTTGCATTTCATTCTTTGCCCTAAATCAATATAATTATACCTGTCTGGCTTCTTTTACTTATAACTCTAGTAATAACATATTCACAACTGTGGGTCACATTACCAAGAAAAAAATTCAAGTGATGCTATGAAATAGAAGTAAAATCAAAGGAATCGACTTAGCCTACATCTAAACCATGATGCTGCCCCAATAGTAGATATGATATTTGTACCACCATATAGCTGAGAGAAGGATTCCTGGCACAAGTAGTCATGAGATTTTTGACTTTTGCTTCTGTTTAATTTTTGTTCTATATATTCATAAAACTGCGTTCTTAGAATTTATATATTAAAGGAATTAAAATCATAAATACAAGTACAAAGTGCTAATGGTAGAACAAAGTTTAAGATCTTCCGACATCAGACAAGTCATGAGGGGATCGTGAGAGATTGTGGTACTCTGAATCAAACTGAAAACACACACACACAGGCAACGTAGTATTTTGTGAGCAACGATCATGAATTACTCGTTTGAAGACAGCAGTATCAATTCACAGAGTTGAAGATGGAGAAATTGTGAAGCTTGTGAACTTTAGCTCCAAAGGAATGTTAAGTACCTCTTACCACCGAATCATAGCCACCACTTGAGTCCCAAATTAAATAAATAAATAGAAATCTACATTCATATTTATGCTAAAAAGAAGCAAACTATGGCTGGATCAGTTAAATAAGTCTACTAATACACAACTACATGAAATGTATGAGATGGTCTGGTGCCATATTTTTAGTGTGCGCCTCTTTAATGATCCACCAAATTGTGTATACTATTATAACTACATGAGCAGGTACTTTGTGATTAGTAATCATTTGGTCAGCAAAATCATTAGCCTTGAATTACAAAGAATGATTTTTTCAGTTTTGTAGGAAATTCAGCCATTGAAATTTGTTTAAAATCAACTAGTGATTATGTTATATGAAGTCATCTATACTATTTTCTGTCTATATACTAATGATAAAATTTATAATATTGTGAACGTTCTTGAGTGTACATACATTACCTGGAAAGTAACAAGTGAAGGAATGCCCTGAGTGATACACATTGTGAAGAGAGATATATTCACTTTTCTTCTTTTAACTTACTTTTCCCCACTTATTATAGAAACTTTGCTAGTGATAAATATCTGCAAGTATAGTCACCAAGCAGGTAAGTGTCTAAATAGCCATAGTGGTTGTCTCCAGTATGTTAAAATTAGAAAAAATATAAAGTTTGGTTAGTTGTGAATCTATGCACTGGAAATACTGAAATTTAGAATGTCTATCTACATTGATTATTTGATCACAAGTACAACTTTGGTAACAGTCAATAACTAAATAAAAAGATGAAAGCCTAAGTTGAAAGTTGGGTTTTATATAGAATTCTAATCTCATTTGCCTCCTTGTTTGTCATCCTCTTGATACTGCCTGTGGTTTTTGGCAAAGGCCTCTGGATAGCCCTACAGCTTAGTCATGTAGGTTAGAACTTGTTGAAGTTGTCATTTGCTGTGTAATTATTCGTTCAGAAAACTGTTTTCCAAAGAAGTATATAACAAATCTCATATGAAAAGGCAAAAAGATTTGCTGAAGGCAAGAATATTAAATTAAGCCACAAAATAAAAATGAATCATTGTTTATTAGTGCTTCAGATGTTGAATTTGCAGTGAGGGGGAAGGGATGCTCTGACAGTCGGTCGTAAGAGAACATTTGTTTTTCAGTGCTTATGAAAGGAATTTGAAATGTAGAAAAGACCTGCATTGTGAGGGGTGCACATGCCTGTTTTAGAGGGAAGTGTTAACAAAACACAACAGGCTCCATCATACTGCTTCTGCAAACTGGTGAAAGGGAGCATCACCAAATAGCCATGGGGTTCCTTACTTGTGCATGCCATTGTGGGCGGATCAGATTCCCTCCTGAAATAATCCTTTTCACAGACACAAGAGGTGGAAGCTTCCTCATGGGTGTAACTGTGAGGTGGACATTTGCTGCAGCTCTGGCTGTGAGGAGAGGCTTTGAAGAACCCAGGTCTGCACACTGTCAAGAGAAACGAGAGACTAAGCTTTTCCTGGGAACAGAGGCAGGTCTTGTTTGTGAATAATGTATTATTTTGAGTAGCATATACACAACTTACAGAGAAGACAGTCTTTGCATCAATTGCAAGAATTTTCCAGAAGCTTCCTGATCACACATATCAGACCATCCAGAAAATCAAATGTTCAAATTAGCATGTATGAAATGCACATATTTTTATGGTCCTTATGCTACTGGAGCTTACAAAACATTGTTGTTGTTTTTAATAAAAGAGACCTATGTGTATTTGTTTACAATGGAAGCAGTCCAGTAAGTATAATTTTTATGCTTTATTAATGATATCATACTAAAGAAATACAGTTTAATTCTATAGTGGCATGGAGAACAACTGTTTCTAACTTTTATTATTAAATTTATAAATTAAGGGCTAGGGAGCTGGCTCATCAGTAAAGTGCTTGTCATATAAGTATGAGGACTGTAGTTAGCGTCTCCACTGGTGATGTTTGGTGAGCATCATGTCTTGCTACTAATCCTGGCAGCTTTAAGGAGATATGAGGAAAACCCAGAATGAATTCAGTAGCTAAATAAGTAAAAACATGAGCACTGGGTTCAGCAAGGAGTCCTATTTTAACATGTAAGATAGAAAGTAATATAAGGAAGATAGCCTACTTCAACCTTGGGCCTCCTCATTCAGGAACATAATCACAAGGGAGAGCCCATATGTATGCAAACATACCACACACACACACACACACACACACACACACACACATGCACACACACACACATATACACACACATTCCACATGCAAATACACAAAATGTTTGAGAACTTGATTAATGAGTATATACTAAAAGTTTTTCAAGTTTTATTGTAATGCATAATTATCTGGTATATAGCCTATACAATATAGAGATTTCAAGAGTATTATATTTGGTTATTTTTTTGCATTTTAAGGATGTGTTTTGAGTTACTAACTCAGGATTTATGCATTCTAATATAGTAAATACCTACGCACTACAAAATTCATAATAACGATAAAAGTGGGAATCATGTCATCTTACTCAGTTTTGTCTCCAGGACAGTTATCCCAGTGTTTCTTCATGACAGGTGAAAGTTAGTGCAAGGGATACTTAAGGGGATTGGTGACAGATCCTGAAGACTGCCACTGAATTGTATGGAATCAAATACAAAGTATTTGCTGATATTTAAGTTAATGTTTTTGGTCATGTAAGCATTTTCTTGTGATGTACTTCTTTGACTTCATGAATGCCATTGAAGTTCGTGTACTCCTTTCCCCCAATGGTTTGTAAACACCAATATCAATATTTCAATTGCTCATATTTGGTCAACTTTAAGCAACTGTACTAAGGTTTTGAATAATTGGCTAATATATTTTACTTTTTCCAAGTTTCAAGTTTCTCTACACAGCCTGAAGATGTTTATTGAAGTATCATTGTAATTTTGTTGAAGGTCATAGATGAATTTATATTTCAATGGGATAGACATAATGAGCTCAGGGTAATTTTCATCTTCTATGAATGACCTCAGGTTATAGTAATCCATGCTGAGGCTTTCTGCCATCACTCTGAATAATCAGGAATTGGCAAAAATAAGGAGGTACTATTTTTTAGTACATCTAATTACGATGATAGTGAAGCCATAATGATCTTACAAATTCATACAAATGTGAAGGCATTTTAGAGATAAGAAGGGCTTTTTGATAGTATTAGGGCATTCAAGTAGTTAAAAGATTAGAAGATTTAAATATTATTTTACTTATAATAGGATTGCTATAGCTGCCAATAGCATGCTAAGCTGTTATCCAATTTTTCTTCTTTTATCCTTTTAGTGCAGCCATTCTTACTTCAAACCACTTGCTTTCAAAGGCATGAAGTGTAAACCCACATATCCTCCATATCTGATTCATGTTTTATTGGAGAAACTCTCTTTAAATAAAAAACATTATTTTTGTCAAATTATGTCTTATTTATTTTTGAAAGATATTTATATTATCTTTTCTTTAATCCATTCTTCTTGTCTATTGTCACTTCCTGACCACAGCTTACCCTTCCTCCTCTCCTTCTAGTCCTTCCCTCCCCACTCAGCTAGATCCATTCCTCCGTTTCCCTTCAGAAAAGAAAAGACCTTCAGGGATATTAACCTAGTATGGCATATCAAGTTACAGTAAGACTAGGCACACATACTAATATCAAGTTTGGTTGAGGGTACCAAGAACAGGCAAAAGAGTCAGAGACAGTCCCTATTCCAGTTTTTAGTGTTTTACAAGAACACCATGATACAAAAATTAACATATATGCAGAGGATCTAGCTTAGACCCATGTAGGCTCCCTGATTGATCGTTCAATATCTGTGAGGTCCTACCAGCCCTGATTGGTTGAGTGTGTCCACCTTGTTTGTGTGATGCCGTCTACTCCTCTAGATTCTACAACACCCTACTTCCTTAGGGTTTCCTGAGTTTCTCCTAATGTCTGGTTATGGGTCTCTATATCTGCTGCCTTCAGTTTCAGTTGCTGTATGAAAATGGTTGCTGTATGATAATGATTGTGATAGGCTAATGTCTATGAGTATAGCAGAGTATTAAGAATCATTTCATTAAATTTTTTTCCGGTCATGTCTGGTTCTATCTTCATCTCTTGGCTATCCAGCTTCTGGTTCATGACCATCCAGTGTCTAGCATAGAAGCTCTCTTCTGGTATGGGCTCAAGTTGGATCAATCATTGACTGGCCACTCCCACAAGTTCTGTGCCACCATTACCCCCACACATCTAGTAGGCAGGACAAATTGTAGGTTGAAATATTTTGTGAATGAGTTGATGTCTGAGTCTTACCACTGGAAGCCTTGCTTAGTTACAGAAGATGACCGGTTCAAGCTCTATATCCCCCATTCATAGGAGACTTCTTAAGGTCACACTGGTAGATTCCAGGCAGTTTCCATTGCTCTAGTTTTATACTAGAGCCCCAGTAAAGTCCCCCATTCCAGTCATATTTCCCATGACTCTTTCCTTCCATCCGCTCCCACATATGATTCCCCAGTTCCCATCCCCACCTGTCCTCTCCCCACTCTCTACCCCAGGTCCATCCATGAAATCTTACCTTTGTATGTGTGAGTCAGTGTGTATTTTTGAGTGCGTGTGTGTGTGTGTATGTGTGTGTGCGTGCGCGCGTGCGTGTGTGTGTGTGTGTGTGTGTGTGTACTACAATGGGTGAGTAACTACAGGTCAGAGGACAACATACAGGCTCTATTATTTTTCTTCAGTATGTCATTTACATATCTCACCCCAATTCGTGTTTTTAATGAGTAACTTTTAACACAGAAGCTTTACATGATAGTGTATTTGTCATTGCTGTTAAACATTATCATGAAAGTATGCACTAAGCAAATAAACAATGCATGTAACATGTTTCTTTTAAAACTGTATTTCTCTCTCTCTTTTTTTTTACTAATTTATTGAAATTCTTTGAGGATCTCAGATGAGTTAAAAAATTGTGCATGGCAATGGATTAGAAAAACTACAAAATGTCTACGGAGATTCTAGGAGACATTATTGAGTTGCTATTCAGACATATGTCTATGACTTTTGGAATAAATTTATACCGCCCACAACTATAAGAAAAGGCTCTGCCTATCAGTTCAATGAGATGATTCTGTGTATTAAGTCTTCTTCCACCAATCTGCTAATCTGGGATTGATCTTGGGAAGTCACATGATGTTGGGAGAGAATGAACTTCTAAAGTCTTCTTCTGATACCCACACCTGTTCTGTTCCATGAACACACATACAAACACACACACACACACACACACACACACACACACACACACACACACACACAAAACTTAATAGAAAGAAGATTCCTCCAGAAAGGTGAGCATGAGTCTCTGCTACTATTTATTTCAAATAGGAAAGTCTTCCAAATGCATAGTGCTTAGCACAGGTTTAGAGAAAGATGTTTTATGAAAATCTGGAGTAAGGTATTATAGAACATAAAAGGGGAGTGGATGAAATAGAATGTATTCAAAAATGTTTTGAAAAAAAGAGTAAGAAGAAAAATTGAAGAAATTATTCACTATAAGATCGCTCTCTCTCTCACTCTCTGTCTTTCTCTTTCTTGCACACAATCTTTTGTTAATTACAGATAGTTCTGAGTTTACTTTTAACACTTTGGATTGTTCAATGGTGCAATAGTAATATGAATTTAATAGAAAATATATATTGAATGTTTATTTAATTTGTGTATTTTCCTGAATGAGAGATATGTGATATTCCCCTCAACCTGGCAAGTAGAATTTAGTTTCAGCTCCCAGTCACTACACCTACACCATGAAATAAGGTTTGTGTTATATGATTTACTCAACTATAAGTTAATACAAGTTTTTGAGCACATTTAAGGTAGATTCAGCTCAGCTGTGATCAATCGAATTAAGATTTTTTAAAACCTTTCAAAATTAGTACATATAAAATGTGCCACATAATGGATTACACTGAGACTTTTAGTGTATGCTATATAAGAAACTGATGATAACTCCACCAACACTTTAATAACACCTACCACCTTGTCTTCTTCTGAAGCCTTCACTTCCGATTTTAATAGCATTATTTACTTAACAATATTTTCAACTCATGATGAGTCAATCAATGCATCGTCCATTTTACAGGGCATATGTGCATTTAACTGTTTATTGAGGTTAATGGAAACTTTTGAATGTTCAGAACTTTGAATGTTCACCGTGAAGTCACAGTTTTAGGCCGGGTACATAGTAGTCTACAAAGTAGAGTTTAAGAATCATTTCACAACAGCACAGAATGTAACAGAGATATGGTCCCTTTTGTTATTGCAGTGACTTGGACAAAGAAGGTGTTATACTTAAGAATAGGCAAATTCAAGGATTTATGACATGTTTAATTAATAAAATGAGCCATTAGATGATGGGGGAAGTCCTTCTGTGTATATGTTGATGAATAAAGCACTGCTGGCCA